TGCTTTATATGTAATTGCCCAATAAGGGGTTGGTATTTGAGTTTATTTAGAGTGGTTTTACAAAGCTAGAAACATATAATTGTTATTTAAAGGATTCTAACTTGTTCACTTAGCTTGGTTTTAAGCAAGTAGCTTGTTTTGCCTTGTTTTTCGGCTTTGAAATTTGCTATCGTTTTTGTATCTACTAGAAATTAAAAAAATAAGGCAATTAAGGGGATAAACATTCTTTCCAAGGTGGGGCGTGCCACCTTTTTGGTGGTCACATGTGGGCCCCACCTAATCCACATGGTTTTAAATTTTTGGGCCCCATATTTTATGGAGTTCCCATATTTTTAGAAAATATTTTATTTCATATTTAGAATTTTAAAATTTATTTAAAACATTAGAAAATTAATTTTTCTTAATTTATAAATCTAAATGACGAAAATAAAATATCAAAAAATTCACAAAAAATCAAATAAACATTATAAAAATCACTTAACATAAAATTAATTAATTTTGATAGGAATCAGATCCGTTAGATCTAGGAAATTATCAATACATAGGAGCACTACACATTCTACTGCGAATCACGATCCGTCTAGCTTTCTCAAATTGACCCAACAGTTCCATGACCTACAGTCCACTGCAGAGGCTCATCATTGGACCACTAAAGTCAGCCAATAGACTAGAGGATGCAATCCCGATTTATGGATTTCAGGTTCTCCCCTAGAGATAAAATCATGGTCTTCCAGACCATGATGCAACCATGACTCTATGATGCATAGGGGTAATCTCTCGTACATGTACACGCTTCACCCTCATAGGCGAATCTCAAATGATTATCTATGTACATGTCATGTGATGATATAACGATGAGGTTTTAGCCTTGTCTCTAAAGGCTATTCATCACACGTAAGGGCCACACGGCCCCTCAGCTCTCATAACCCACTAAACTCTTCCATATGCCTAGGTATCTTGGGTTTTTCCAAACTTCGGTTAACCTAGCTCGTCGAGCCTAGTTCGAGTATTAGCAAATAACATTTGCCTAGTATGGTCCACAAAAGGATCACACTCCCACTAAGTTTATGTTTTATTTATTAAATATGTTTTATACAGTGTCTTATAAGGCCAACATTCATGCCTATCGTATGGTACACCAAAACGCACTCCTTCACCGACTGTTTATCATTGATGGTGGAGATGATCAAAACCTCTACTTTTTGTGTGCTAGTTGCAGCCACCTTAAAAGTCGTATTTGTTTGTAGCATTATAGAAGGGGGCAGTCATCTTTTTCCTTGATAATTCATTCATAAGTATTGCACAAGGTTTCAAAAAAGGCTAGGCGGCTAGCCTGGCGCCCAAAACCTCAAATGCCCTGTAGTACAAATTCTTTACATGTATATATATATATATATATATATATATATATATAGTAGAGAGAGAGAGAGAGAG